TTCAACTATTCTACTTTTTCGTTTTACATTCATTATCAATACAAAACGTTCCTTTATTTGAATATTTTTTAAATAAATAAATTCTCTTTTTTCTTCCCAATCTTCTTTTATTTTTAAACCAACCTCAACTATTTTACCGTTGATTTGGATATTCAACAGAACAACCAAATAAGAGAGTAGAATAATAATAAATTTATTCATTTTAAATTTTAATATTAAAAATAATTTTGGGGATATCAATAATAAAAATATCAGTTATATATAGTCATCAAACTTTTTTCCATTAAATGGCCATGAAGCAATATTTCTTTATCTATTTATTTTGAAATATAGTCGGCATTTAAAAATAAATATTTGCCTTTTTATTAATGCGCTTTTGGTAATAATAAAATATTTCAAAATATTTAAAACGAATCATATTAAAAGAGTAAATATAAAGTGCAAATAAGCTTTTTATCACGCCGATATACAAAATAAATAAAATAAAGTACAATTTCAAAATATTTAAAGGCATGCGGACTAATCATATGAATTTTCTAGCAAATATAAAGTGCAAATATTTATTTAAATGCCGGGTAGATTTTAAAATTAATAGATGAATAAATAATATAGCAAGGCTAATTAATTGAGACATTACGGTTCGAACTTTAAGTAATTTTTTGAGACGCTTACACTCTATGGGACGCATACACTTTTTTGGGACGCATGTCCTAAATTAGAGCCAAAATTTTCCTTTCACCCCTAAGAACAGAAATTTTTCGACTACGGCCTCCAGACATTTTTAGACTTTTGGCCTTCGGCGCTAAAAATAAAAAATTTGGCTTATTGGCTTCCAAATTTAAAATTTTCGCCTCGCGGTGAAAAATGCAAGAAATCTGGCTTCATGGCCTACAAAATTTTCCAAAATTTTCGCCTGCGGCGCAAAAATGGATGAATTGGAGGATTTATTGCTTGAAAGCTTTCCAAAATTCAAAAATATTGCATACAACGTTTAAAATTTAAAATTAGATGTCCTGGCTACAAAAAATCATAAAAATTTTACTTTTTTAGCTTTTTTCTCAAGTACGAGTAGGTAAGAGGTACAAGTACGAGGTCAAAAATAGAGGTGGTAAGAAGTACGAGTACAAACAGAATTGAAACTTCCAAGCACTGGTTAAGGAATAGTTAGCTAACGAATACTTTATTCAACCACAATCCTCGATTATTTTTAATACTCAGTACAACCTCATAAAAACGACTTCAATTAATAGTAGTAGAACATAATAATTTCATTTATTAATCCTTTATTTTTTGTTGCATTTTACAAATAGTAAAATGATACTTAAAACTCAGCGGCGTATATGTTAGTGATGTTCGAGAGTCAAAAAAAGCCGAGAGTCGAGACCGAGACCCGAGACCGAGAATCAACGCCGAGACCGAGACCAAACCGAGAGTCGAGACCGAGAGTCGAGACCGAGAGATTAAGAGGGATATCATTTGACGTCCCTCCTAATCCCAAAAAATCCATTTATATCCCTTATAATATATACCCACAATATTTATCCACTGATATTCACATTAATCTCTTAAAATCCCCTCATATACCTCAATATCCCTCCCATATCCGACGATATCTCCTTGATCCCTCGATGCCACGCACAAGTCCATTGATATTAAATTTAATCCTTTAGAATCCCCAGTATCCCTCTTAATCTTTTTAATCTTATTTAATTAAAAATTAATAAGATTCCCAGTATTTTTACCCGAACTCCCGACCTGTGAATTTTTCAAAACCCGGCCCAAACCCTCTTCTTCCATAAAATCTCTTTTTGCGCCGCAGGCGAAAATTTTGAAGAATTTGGAGGTCCTTAAGTCAGATTTTTTCCATTTTTTGCGCCGCAGGCGAAAATTTTGAAAAATTTGGAAGGCCTTAGTAGAAAAATTCAATTGTAAGAACCACAGGCAAAAATTTTTATTGAAGTTTAGATGATCAAAAATTTCCTTCATTAGGGGTGTAAATTTAGTCTCGTTTTCCGAGACTAAAACACCGAGACCGAGAGCTCAAAAAATCCGAGAAATTTCTCGACTCGAGAGTCGAGACCGAGAGTCTCGAACATCACTAGTATATGTCACTGAATTGAAGACAACATTAATCTAAAATATTTACTGAGATTTTGAACCTTATTGAAAATTCTATAGACTTCGTTCTGCGTGCTTTTCTGCTAAAGGAATTACAGAAATTTTCCAAAATTTTTAAACATTAAAACACAAAAATCTAAATAGTTTCTAGTGATGTTATAATTTCTTATCCCAATATAATTTAAAAATTATATATAAATTTAATAACATAAATAAAATGGATTTGTGAAACATGAAACACGATTAAAATATTATAATAATAAAAATTAAAACAAAATGTACACATTATTTTATTTCAACAATATCAGTTGTGATTTTTTTTATCTCCACTGGCTGCTTTCCTTCAGCACGCATGCTAGCAGACACAGCTATACCAACCTTAATTTCCAAATCAAATTTTCCTTTAGTATGTTCATTTTCATCAACTGGTAAAAAAACTGTAGTCGCATATTGATGACCCTAAAATAAAAAAAAGGTAAAATTAAATAATAATACAGTGCATTCCTAAATAAGATGAACCGTTCCCTATGGCTACACCTTTTAACGACTATTGGAACCGATCTATGCTTGTTGATAGCTTTCGAATAATGTGAAATTATTTATGAATAGATTAATAAATCGAAATCTTCGTAAAATGTGGATTTTAGTATCATTTGATTCAGGACATAACAATATTTGAGTAACTTTATAAACATATACGGTAGAGCATTAACACAAACTTTTGTTTAATTTAAAAATAAATTACTTTTTTTATTTGGCTTTTACTTGATGGGGTGTAACATTGATGGTAGACTATTATGTAAGGATCTGGCGCTGAAAAAGTTTCAGTGTCCTTTATATTTTCTGCAACAAACATCCCATTTTCATCCGTCAGTATTGCAGGATCGCAGCATAGTTTATCATGATATGCGGTTTCCTCTTAATTTCAATTAAGTTTAAACTATTTATTTATTTTAATTTTAAAATAAAGTTAATTATCTCAAACATAACCTTCCCAAACTTCAATTAATGCGCCTTGAAGTCTCGCTTTAACAGACTTATCTCCAAGCAGAAAGTTACAGTACACAGTACCAACAATATTCATTTCAATGTCAATTCCTATTCCATTTCTGAAATTATCCACTTTTATTTAAATTTTTTAGATTTAAAAAAAATTTTACTTTGGAATTATTAAGCAGATTAAAATTATTACAGCGTAAGAGAACATTTTTTAATTATTTTAATAAAAAATTATTTGAAATATTTAAAATTATAATTAGATAAGGGAAATTAATGAAAAATAAATTTATTTTAAACGGTATTTATAAGCATAAATAATTAAAATAAAAATAAGTCAGTTTTGGTTAATGAATCACTTAATTCACAAATCAGATAAATTTTTAATAGTCAGCGTTAAAAATAAATTTCACATTGACGAATGTCAATGTGATTCAACATTTAATTCACTAATCTGATATTAACATTGGTACTTTATGGATATGTCACCCCCCCTCCTATTTTGAGTCTCAGAGTTTTCCTTAAACGTAGAAAATGGTCAGAGATTATTTTCTTCTCCATGCCAATCATTTTTCTTTCTTCAAGCAAAATAAGTGAAATATAGTAGATGTAGAACCGAAATGAGTGAAATGTAAGTACAAAATATGCGAAAAGGCAAAGTAAACAAGCAAAATGCTTGAAGAAGAAAAAAATGATTGACATTGAGAAGAAAATAATCACTGACCATTTTCTACGTTTAAGAAAAACCATGAGACTCAAAATAGGAGGGGGGGTGACATATCCATAAAGTACCTTAACATTTTATGTTGAATCTTTTGTAAAAAATTTAAGCCGGATCCTGATTTGGCATATCCGACCATACCCTCTTTATCCGTATATATCTCAGAAATCATGATAATTTTAATAAACGCTGAAACATGTCAAACGAGATACGAATTAGGCTTTCGAATGGTATATAGAACAACATATCCATAAGGTATTCATCTGATACATACATGCTAAACCGACAGAACTTATGTAACACCCTAAATAAGTACTCTCCCTCAAATACATATAATTACGAATAATATCCCTGTGTTTTTTAGGACGGAATTGCTAATTCCTGAATGTGTGAATTTAATTTTTATGTCGCCACTAACCCTGATAGATATTTACATTACATGATTAATTTAAAATAAAAAATAAAACCATATTTTGAAAGCAAAATAAAATCAAATGCTTTTTGTGTTAAAATCAGTAATTATTATTTGTGGAATAACCAAAATTAACATTTAATCGGAAATTCGCTAACCAATAAATAAAGTTATTGAATAATTAATGAAAGGGATAAAGTAAAAAATAATTTCTGAACCACAAAATTCCGAAAATTCTTGTGTCCGAAGTTACAGTAAGCAAATTATTGGAACCTTTGGGACTAGTGAATAATAACTTTTCAATCATAGTATCGAAATAAATTTTATTTTAAACAATTTCAATACAAATATGTATGAAAAAATATTTAGTCATCCACACAATTTCATTTTATAATTATTATTCTTTTTGGAGGGGGGCGGCATCTCCCCTTCCACTTAATAAAAGATAGGCAGAAGAAAGTTGTTCTTGTTTTTTCAATTGTTTGTTGAGTGTACCTGAAAGTTGAAAATATTTTAAAAAAAGTTTAAAAAATGTTATAATGAAAATACAGGCTAAAAAAACCTATAGGATACAACCAACAAGAGATACTATATGAAAAATTTCTTTTTGTTTCGTATTTCGATTAAAAATTTATTTTTTTCATTTCGTGTTTCGTTTTAAAATTATTTTTTCCCTTTGTTTCGGGTTTCGCTAAAAAAATATTTTCGTTAGTTCTCGTTTTGAAAGAATTTGTTAAGTCCCAAAGGTGTTCCTTATAGCGAGGATTTATAAGAATATTTACCCAAAGGAGTGTCTTGCGAATTCATTTTCTTCAATTTCTCCCTCTTGTCCACCTTCATTTTATGTTTTTCCCCTTGTTTCTTTCCAGGACCTTTTCCATGGAATTTCCAAGATAATACACGAAATGCTTCTTTTGGCTCTAAAACACGCCCAGATTTGTCGGAATAATTTATTTCAATCTAAAAATGAGAAAAAAAAATGAAAACAAAAATTCAAAATTTGATAAAAAAATTTTATGAAGATCCCAGGCACTGAAAATCTATTCAGCCTCTATTCAGCTAACATTAAGAAAAAATTTTCTATTTTTCTGCTCTCTTCCAATTTTAGTTTATCCCCATTAGAGGTGACTCGGAATTCGGATTTCTGAAGCCCCCCACCCCCCCCCCCCCCACCCTCTCCGATTTCCGAAATTTTTGGCTGATTTCCAACTTTTGAGTCATTTACGGTTTCCGGCAACTTGGTCATTTCCGCTTCACCTCTGATCCCCATTTAGAATATTCACAAAAGGAAAACTAAGCAAGAGAATTAACCTAGTGCCCCAATCTCTCCCTCAGTTAGTTGTTGGAAAAATAAAAATTAGAGGGTAATTTACCGTTAATCCTAGTCTTTTTTTCGAAAACTAACAAAAAAATTTATAAAAAAAACACCTTAGGAGTGTAATCAGTCTTCTCAGGAAATGGCCTTGTTGGACCAGTCCCCGTAGTCCCCATCCTTTCCAATTTCCTCATAGTTTTGTCTTCAATGTCATAACGTCCTTGCTCGACTTTTGAGTATCTTTTACTTTCCAAATGTTTTAGAGACCCTTCTCCATGACGTTTTTTGTTACCAGATTCTAAATATCCCTTTTGTCCAGCAAGTTTCAACATTGCTGCTACACCTTTAGTAACATCCTTTTCTTCTCCCAAAATATTTGAATAATTTTTGGTTGCTGAATATTTTTCTAAAAATTGAAAAAATTTTTTAGAAAAATAATAATTTAGAAAAATTCAAGGTTCTTAAAAAAATTTTCAGAATGTTGGCTTGGAATTCCGAGGAAATTTTCAATTCCTAGTTAAACTAGAGCTTAGTGTACAAAACTGTTGTATTGTTCAAGCTCCCAATTATTCTAGAAATTTGGCGGATCCGAGAATCGATTCTCGCAGAGACCGAATAGAACCGTTCTAGTTTCTATAATTGAACATCTGGGTCTAAAATAGAAGAGGGGGATTAGAAGTCCCCCCGCCCTCTTAATCAAATTCCCCTAAAAAAATCCAGGGCGCTGGTCTATCAACAGAAAATTCGATTTTCTTGGTGTTGCGAAGTTGAGATATGGGGCCGTTCCTTACTCTATCCCTCGAAGTTTCTGAAAGTTAAAATCGTTTTTTTTTCATTTTTAAAAATTGGCTATAACTTTCAGAAATTTCAAGTAAAAGGGAATGATCCCAGACCCAGTGGGCGTTGGGAAACTATCAAAAATAATAGGAGCTAGCCAAACCCTTTATCTGATCCTCTAATACCCCCCTGAACATTAAATTAAAAAAAATACCCTCATCACTATCAGATCCATCCCCATCTCTCTCCTCATCCATTCTTTCAAATTCTCCACTAGACCCACTATCAGTTCTTCTCCTTTTTAAAAATTCTTTTTTCAAACTACTCGAAGCTATTTCACTCCCAATTTCCATTTCTTCCTCAATTTCAGTTTTTACAATTTTTTTGTTCATTTGTTGATCATTTCCATAACCTCCACCCCCTATAGCTTTGTATTTTTCTGATGTGGCGTCAAAAATTATTGCATTCGAATTTTTTTGTTCTTCCATATCTTCATCATCACTGCTGTCTGACGCAAAATAAGTAACCTCTTTTTTAACCATTTTTTCAGAATTTTTTAGTAAACGAGCTTTGGCCAAAATTGCGTTTAATTCTTCACTAGCATCGTCATCTTCTATTTGTATTGGGGCGACATTGGTAGGAAGAAATTCTGAAGCAAAAAAATTTTTTTAATTTTTTGGAAAAATATTTAGGGATCCGACTAAATTCAAATAAATTGTTTAGAAAGAATCAAGTTTAAAAAAGCATAAATGTTGCCAAATGTTCACCCTCCATGAACAAGGATATCACGAGTTAACCTAAAGCCCAGTAATTTTTTTCAATCAGAAATCCGACACCAGATACCAAGAAAATATTGAAACGGCATGAAAAGCCCGACTCGAATTTTTTCCTATCCTGTGACACCCTGATCATGAATAATTGATTAGTCCAGTTGGCATAAACCCCCATTCACAATTTTTGTTAATAGTGAAGTCAGATGATTTTTGTGGAAGGCAGATTAAACAGACGAAGGAAATTAGTTAGGGGGGAGGGGGGTTAACAGGGTTTAGAAAACCTTTTTAATTTCACATACAGAAATGAGAAACCCGAGGTTAAAATTAAAAGTCCAATCCCTAAAAATAAATTAAAAAACCTTCTTCCTCGTCCTCCTCCTCTTCTCTCTTTTTAATCTTTTCAGCTAATATATCCAACATTTTTACATCAACATTAACTTTCGGTTTTTTCCATTTTGTCTGATCTGGGGGAGGCATGGCAATGGAATCCTTTGATTGTTTTATCTTAAAAAATATTTTTGTAGGTTTATAAAAATTTATAAAAAATAACTAAAATGTGTCTTTGGAACGTAGAGGAAAGAAATTTGAAAAAATCATGATCAGACCTTGCCCAAATTTTTATCACGGCCAATAAAACTCAAGGAACCCCATAAAATGATATGATGATGACACTTGATTCAAAGAAAACAACCCCGGGAAATTATAGTCCAAGAAAAGTCAGGGTTTAAATTTCAGATTCATAACCAAACCGACCTTCTAATGGGCAAAATTTTACAAAAAAATCCTATTTTGAATTTATCCTAAGGACTATGGATGGTTCGCGTTTCCCTGAATTCGGGCTATGCCCGAACCTAAGACAAGGGCTTAGCCGGGGGAAGGGGATTTCTGGGGTTATAGAATGGAAAAAACAAAAAATTTTAGGAGGGATGCCCTTGCCCAAATGCAAGTTTGAAAACTAAACCAAAACCTGACCCATCCAAGGACCATAAATTAATTCTATTAAAAAATTAAACCTCTTTTTTACTTTCAACAATTTCACCTTCTTCCATCACAACAGAACGAGAAACTTTTGAAGAACCATTAGATTCCTTCATTGTATCACGAAAAGCTTTTCCTCCCTCTTCCCCACCTTCTTGTTCCCTCCTCCTTGCAGCCAATTTTTCTTCTCGAATTTTTTTCTCTTCCTCAGTTTCTTCCAAAGGTTCCAATTCTGTTGTTTTTAATGCTTTTTTACGCGAATTTTTTGAAGTTTTTTTCTTTTTGAGACGTCGGAATTGGATAACTTCTTCCTTTAATTTTTATAAAAAAATTTTGATTGAAAAATTTGGGTCCGCCCAAAAGGTCAAATGACCCGAAAAGGTTAACTCAAATTACCCCCCCCCCTCTCCCTCTTTGACTTATAAGATAGTTACACGAAGGAATTTCTATATTTTGTCCATTAATCCCAACAAATCCATCCTAATTAGCAAAAATACACCCAAAATACGTCTTGATCTCCCCAAAACCTTCCTTATATGCCCTAAATTTGTATTTGATCATTTGGGTATTTAAAATTTTTCGGAGTTCCCCTTTAGTCATTTGATCCATAAAAAATCCATTTAAATCACCCCAAATCTATCGACATTCCCCTTAATAACTACAGACGTCTTAATCTCAAAAAAACCTATCTATACGCCCTAAATCTCGAATTAATCTTATGGGTAATTTCACCCTTTGAAAGATTATCTTTATGGTCCCTTGTGGGTTGATCCCAAAAATTTTTTTAAAAAAATTAAAAGAAAACCTCCGTATAAAATTCATTCGCCAAAGTGTATTTTGTCTCCCCCAAAGATTCAAACTTTTTATTCACCATCATTAATTTACGTTTAGCTTCTGCTTCTTTAGCTTCTTTATCCAAATCATAATGTCCAGTTTCGTCTTAAAAAAAATTTTTTTAATCAGAATTAACAGGATAAACAGTTAAAATCGAAAGAAAAGGGGTATGTGGCAGGAAAGGCTTCGTGACAGAATAAAATAGTCAAAACGAGGGTTTTCCAGACTTAAAAAAGTTGGTTGTTCCAATCATTCAAAAATTAGACTAAATTTTCTAAAAAGTGACAGTTGTTCCAAGCCCTAAAAGTCGAGATACTAACTCACTTCCCACTTGGTATTCCCATCACGCAAAGCTGTCCCCGAGGCAATTACTTTCCTCTACTGACACATAGGAACCAATGCTTTCCCGACCCCGAAATACCAAAAAAGGTTCAGAACAACCCCGTTTCTGATGGATCTAAAAATAAAATGGATTTTCAGGGTTCAATTAATTGTAAGCAATTTTGAAAGGAAGAAAGTATGGCGTAGAATCCCCTCACCCTTCTAGTCCACTAACCCAAAAAGCAAAAGAAAAACTACGCGAAGCCGCCCCGTCCCCGAAAAACCTAAAAAGGTTCAACAATCCTATTTCTGATGGTTCCAAAAATAAATTGGGGTTCCCGGGTTAAATCAAGCAGTTTTGAAACCAAGAAAGTATGGCGTAGAACCCCCCTAACCCTTCTAGTCCTTAACCCAAAAAACTTTTTAAAGAAAAACCACGCGGAGCCGCCCCGACCCTGATAACCTTAAAAAGATTCAACAATCCTGTTTGTGAAGATTCTAAAAATAAATCGTGGTTTTTCGGGGTTTTGGGCTTCAGTCAAGCAGCTTTTATGGCGTAGAAATCCCTCCTCTCTCCCAGTCCCTTAACCCAAAAATTATTTAAAAAACCTAATCGAAAAGTTTCCTTCTTTTTATTTTCCCCATCCATTCCCTCATTATATTTATCCAAAATTTCTTTCCTTTTAATTTGTCCAAATTCATCAATTTCTTCTTCTTCATAAGCTTGGTAATGTGTTGCTTTTTTCTTTCTTCTCTCAACATTTAATTTTGTCCTTTCATTTTCTACCATATTTGGATTTATTAAAATTTCTTCGTCGGCGTCTTCCCCGTCGAGAAGTAAACCTTTTAAATTAAATTTTTAGAAGAATTTTTAAAAAATTTAAAAAATACTTTTGTCCTGCAAAACTAAAATTGTTTCTCTTCCTTCTTGAAAGTCTTGAACAGAATGGCCAACAATTAATCCGCCAGAAGAGGTTTCCGTCTTAAAAATTAGGAAATTTTTGTTTATGAAATAAAAAAGTGAATTTTATAATTTATCGATTAATTCCAAAAAGGATAGTTCTAAAATCACTCTTCTCATTTTTTCCCGTATGTTTGTTGGAATCGAAAATGGACTAAAAAAATGTCGTGTGAACGCGATGAACAAATTTCTAATTTTTCCTAATCAATTCACTAGCAGAAAATTTGGGGAAATTGAAAGGGGGGAAAACTGCCAAAAAATGGTAGGTCGGAACGGTAAAAGGTGTCGAAAATCGGAATAGCCGAAAATCGGAATAGCCGAAAATCGGAACTGGCTCAAAGGTCGGAACTTGGAAATCGTAAATCAAAATTTTTTCAGAAATCGCATAGAAAAAACGACGGAAATCGGAATTCCGACCCATCTACCCAGACTACCACAAGGTGGAAAATTACCCGCCCCATATGTGATAGATATGACCAACCAGATTCTATTTAACTAAGGAAACCCTTACCAAGGGCGTAGCCAAGAAAAAAAAAAGGGGGGGGGGGTATAGCCCCAGAAGCAAAAATTGCGTTCAGAATGCCAACGTAAACAGCCTAAAATCAAACTCCTGGCTACGCCCTTGACCCTTACAAGATAATTCCAAACTTAAAAAAATTTTCTCAACAAACCTCAACATTTCCCCCTCTTTTCTTCTTCTGTTTTTTCAATTGTTCCTCTCTAAGCAAAGCCCCAATTCCAAAAGACTCATCCATCTCTTCCAATTCTTTTTCCTTTTCCTTAGCTTTTTTCATTTCTTCCTCAATCCTTCTCGATCTTTCAATCCATTTTTTTGTGTTTTCAATTTCCTCGTCTTCTTCCTCAGCCAAATTCTTTGATTTTAACACTTTTGAATGTAAATCCCTTTGACGTTTTTTGTTTTCCAATTTTTCTTTAAGCTCTTTTTGACGCTTTTCTTCTGACCAATTTCGTGAGGGTTTGTGCACTATTTCTACGCCGTCTTCGGTAAATACCTTGAAATTTTTAAATTTTAAAAATGGGTCAAATCGACTAGAAAATTAAAAAAATATACAAAAAAAAAAATAGAAAATGTTCGAAAATAACGAAAAGTAAAACTGGGTAATATTCAATTTCGTTCCCCCCCTCCTTTTTTGCATCCTCAAAGTATTAAAAAATGGTCAGTCTGACTTAAGTTATAGAACTCGTCGAGCTGAGTCGAATGACACCAAAATCAAAAAAAATCCGACTTGATTTGACCGAAATACAGACCCCTGAAAATTGAACAACCACAGGGGCGATTTTGTAGAATAAAAATTTTTTATGCAAATGATAGCTCATTCGAAAGAGCTCGTCGAGCTGAGTCAAATGACACCGAAATCGACGTGATCTGACTTGATTTGACAAAAATATGACATAAGGTTGCCGACTCCGGTAGGTCTAAATAATGCCATAACTTTGTCAAAACTCGTCCGATTACGTTGATTTCGGTGTCATTCGACTCAGCTCGACGAGCTCTTTCGAATGAGCTATCATTTGCATAAAAAATTTTTATTCTACAAAATCGCCCCTGTGGTTGTTCAATATTCAGGGGTCTGAACTGGAATTTACAATTTACCTATAACCAAATGTAAATCCGTCTTGCCAAAAGCGTAGCCAGGATTTCTGTGACTAAAGCCCCCCCCCCTTACCCGAAATAGGGAAAAAGGAAAATTTTGAGGGGATTGAGTAAAGCTACGCCCTTGCTTCTTGATAAAAAATTAATTAGTAACCCAAACGGAAGTCCGCAAAACTGGAACCTAAAAATGTGCAAGAACCCTTCCCAAAAAAATAACCAAAAAACAACCTTTTCCCCACTTCCATCCTCCTTCTCCACCGGTTCCGTGTTCGTTTTATCATCCAAATCTAAAGGTGCTAGTCCAAGTTTAGCCCTCAATTTGTTTGTTTCTTCAATTGACATTGACTCTTCGCTAAAATAAATTTTTAGAAAATTTTTACAATTCAAAAAAAAACTTTTTTGAAGGAGAGGAGTCGTCTTCCTTACGTCGCTTTGACCTGAAATTTGAAAAAATAAATTTAAAAAAAAAATTCAAAAAAACTTTTTGGGTGAACGCGATCTTGAACGACGATGTCTTCGACTTTCTTCCCTGTCTTCTTCAATGGAGGTGTCCGCATCCAAATCTCTTTTTCGATTTTTTTCGTGTTTGGACGGCATCCTAAAACTAGTTGAAAATTAAAAGAAATAAAATGCTAGAACGAAAAATAGGATATAAGTCGGGGTACAGCCCGAATAGTCGCGGGCCGATTGGTCGCGACTCGCGAGGCCATATAGTCGCCTGTCGAATAGTCGCCAAGCTTTTTAATTAATTTTTCTGAGTATAATCAATTAGCAAAAAAACAGTTCAAATTTTAATATGCAGATATAACAAGAAATTAACAATATTCAAAACAAAATATTTAAACGACCAGAATAACAAAAATAATAAGTTGTAGTTTTGTGACAATGAATCGAAAAATGTGGGTACGGCCCACTATGGCGCGGGCCACAATGGCGCGACCACAATGGCGCAGGCCACTATGGCGCGGGCCACAATGGCGCGACCACAATGGCGCAAGCCCACTATGGCGCGACCACTATGGCGCGAGGCTTTAAAATAAAAAATAAGGTCCAAAAAAGTCAGGCATTGTTTTGAGTCTGGTTATATAGGTGTCCCCTTGCATCATCCGACAGCTTCACGAGAGAGTTTTAGTCCTATTTCCCTTAATCCCCCTTAATCCCGACAAATCCGTCTTAATCCGCCCAAATCCATCCTAATCTGCACAAACTCTTTTAACCGCCCAAAATTTGCACTTGTGGGCAAGTTGACCTGACCTTCTGGGTCTTGACTTCTGGATTTTGTCCTTCTGGGTTGATCCCAATAAATTAATCGGCTAAAGTGCACTTTACCGGGCGATTTTAGATTTTTATGATTTATATGTCATTCGAAAGAGCTCATCAAGTTGAGTCGAATGACACCAAAATTAGCCCGCGGACTCAACTATGGACCGAGATATAGGTCCCCGAAAATCGAAAAACGGAACTTATTTACTTTAACTACACACCCCATTTATTCGCAAGAAGGCCATCAATCAAACTTAAATTGTTCAGAAAGGTCAGCCTTTCTTTCTTCCTCAATGTTACTCAATTTTCCCTGTGGCATGTGCAATGAGAGAAATTGCAATGAGAGAATAAGGAAGAGATCAATTTTTCTTTCCAATTTCAACAAAATAAAAGTTAATTTGAATCAATATTCTTATTTTTGCCGTTTCAGTTATTACCACACGGTTATTTAGGAACATCTCTGTGCGAGTCCGTCCGTGTTCGTCCGAGTTTTGTCTGTCCGTATCCGTCCGTGTGCTGTCTGTGCGAGTCCGTCCGTGTTCGTCCGAGTTTGTCTGTTCGTCCGTGTTTTATCTGTCCAAGTCCGTCCGTGTTTTGTCTGTCCAAGTCCGCCCGTGTTTTGGGCTAAAGTACACTTTACCGGGCGATTTTAGATTTTTATGATTTATATGTCAATCGAAAGAGCTCGGCGAGTTGAGTCGAATGACACCAAAATTAGCCCGCGGACTCAACTATGGACCGAGATATGGGTCCCCAAAAATCGAAAACCATAGGGGGGACCAAGCACTTTTTTGGGGGTAAAAAGTTCGAACATGCAAATTATACCTCATTCGAAAGAGCTCGTCGAGCTGAGTCGAATGACACCAAAATCAACGAAATCCGATTTGATTTGACAAAGTTATGATCTTTTATTTTAGCTCCTTACCTATGGCATCTGTGGAGATTTTTGCTGCTACGGAGGCCCCAAATACGTCCAGAGCAAGGAAGATAGGAATAGGTTTATGTTACGAGCCCAGACCCAGCGCCCGTAGACTCCCCGCGAGGCGCGTGCCGCAAAACCCCGCGCGAAGCGCGGGGTTTTGCACAAGCGCCTCGCCGACGCTCCATAGGTTTAGGTTTTAGTTTTTCTATCGTAACTTTGTCCAAACTTGTCCAATCACGATGATTTTGGTGTCATTCGACTCAGCTCGACGAGCTCTTTCGAATGAGGTATAATTTGCATATTCGAACTTTTTACCCCCAAAAAAGTGCTTGGTCCCCCCTATGGTTTTTCGATTTTTGGGGACCCATATCTCGGTCCATAGTTGAGTCCGCGGGCTAATTTTGGTGTCATTCGACTCAGCTCGCCGAGCTCTTTCGATTGACATATAAATCATAAAAATCTAAAATCGCCCGGTAAAGTGTACTTAGGCCGTGTTTTGTCTGTCCAAGTCCGCCCGTGTTTTGTCTGTCCAAGTCCGTCGGTGTTTTGTCTGTGCGAGTCCGTCATTATTCGTCCGAGTTTTGTTTGTCCGTCCGTGTTATCCTGTCATTGTCTGTCCTTCTTCATTTCTTTCTCTCATTGCACATGCGACAGGGAAAATTAAGTAACATCGAGGAAGAAAGAAAGGCTGACCTTTCTGAACAATTTAAGTTTGATTGATGGCCTTCTTGCGAATAAATGGGGTGTGTAGTTAAAGTAAATAAGTTCCGAAAAACCATAGGGGGACCAAGCTGTTTTTTGTGGGTGAAAAATTCAAATATGCAAATTATCCTTATTCGAAAGAGCTCCTCGAGCTGAGTCGAATGACACCGAAATCAACGAAATCCGACTTGATTTGACAAAGTTATGATCGTTTGTTTTTACCCCTAACATAAGGCCTTCGCGGAAAAAAGTTTTTGCCGCTGCGGAGGAAGCCGGGCATGTCGAGCGGAACGACGGCCGCTTCTTCGCTACGGTCGCCGCGAGCGCAGCGAGCACGACCGCAGCGAAGCACGGCCATCGTGTTGGTATTCTGGAGCGAAGCACGGCCATCGTGTTGGTACTCTGGATTGGTATTATAAGGAGTGAGAAGATTGGCAGATGGCAAATGTTTTTTGAGATTTTGAAAAAGGTGAAAGAAACAGCCCCTAATGTGTGATTCAGGAAAGACAACCCTAATAGCATAATGTACAGCTAATTCAAAGTCCACTGATTTCGCATCCGGATTGAGATTGGGCCAAAATTAATTTTGTATTAACTAAGTGAATTTTGTATTAAAATTTTTTAAATAGAATCTTAAAATAATTATCTATGAAATGATGCGAACAGATCTTTAAAAAATGGGATTTGTTTTCGAGATATCGAATTTCAAAGTCTTGTGGGTAAAAAGATAAATTAGAGTCTTCATTAACAAAGCTTTTTTGAATGATTAACGGTCCCATGATTATATCCTTCTGGAGGTCGAGGAATCATGTTGTAAGCCTTCCTTAAGTCCGAATAGATTGTTGTTTCTGGGCGTATATGTTGTTGAATTAAATGGATAAGCTTCTCGGCACTACACTTTCCCTATATCACTGTCAGTAAGTCCCATATGATAATATTTGGTAAGGAAATAAATTTTTTCAAGTCTTAGAAGAGACTCTAGAGTCCCATATGATAATATTTGGTAAGGAAATACAGGGTGTTTCAACTAAGAAATACTATTTGAAAACTCAATAACTTTTTGCAAAGTTGACAGATTTTAACGATATTTTGTATTTTATATCTATATTTTATAGCATTTTTTTGACAGAAAAATTATGTCTAAATTCGAACCCTAACCCGAGATAATTTCGTACTCTACCGTTCTGTTTTTCCCTTTTTCCGCACATGCATTCTTACTCCCTTTTGTTTAGGCGATAGACACTACATTTAGGCGATAGACACTACATTTTCAATACAGTATCTTTTCTTCGCCATACGCAGGAAAATAAATGAAGTAAGATAGCATGCAACGCAAAGAGAAAAAAAAGAGAACGGTTGAGTACGAAATTGGAATACAGGGTTAGGGTTCGAATTTAAACAAAATTTTTTTGTCAAAAAAAATCCTAGAAAATATAGATATAAAATACCAAATTTCATTAAAATCTGTCAGCGCAGAAAAAAGTTATGGATTTTTCAAATAGTATTTTTTAGTTGAAACACCCTGTAAATTTTTTCAAGTCTCAGAAGAGACATTAGAGTCACATATGATGATATTTGGTAAGGAAATAAATTTTTTCAAGTCTCAGAAGAGACATTAGAGTCCCATATGATAATATTTGGTAAGGAAATAAATTTTTTCAAGTCTTAGAAGGGACTCTAGAGTCCCATATGGTAATATTTTGTAAGGAAATAAATTTTTTCAAGTGTCAGAAGAGACATTAGAGTCCCATATGAGAATATTTGGTAAGGAAATAAATTTTTTCAAGTCTCAGAAGAGACATTAGAGTCCCATATGGTAATATTTTGTAAGGAAATAAATTTTTTCAAGTGTCAGAAGAGACATTAGAGTCCCATATGATAATATTTGGTAAGGAAATAAATTTTTTCAAGTCTCAGAAGAGACATTAGAGTCCCATATGGTAATATTTTGTAAGGAAATAAATTTTTTCAAGTGTCAGAAGAGACATTAGAGTCCCATATGAGAATATTTGGTAAGGAAATAAATTTTTTCAAGTCTCAGAAGAGACATTAGAGTCCCATATGGTAATATTTTGTAAGGAAATAAATTTTTTCAAGTGTCAGAAGAGACATTAGAGTCCCATATGAGAATATTTTGTAAGGAAATAAATTTTTTCAAGTGTCAGAAGAGACATTAGAGTCCCATATGATAATATTTTGGTAATGAAATAAATTTTTTGATTTTCAAGTGTCAGAAGAGACTCTAGAGTCCCATATGATAATATTTTCGGTAATGAAATAAATTTTTTGATTTTCAAGTGTCAGAAGAGACTCTAGAGTTTTTTTAATGATAATATTTCGGTAATGAAATAAATCTTTTGATTTTCAAGTGTCAGAAGAGACTCAAGCGTTTTTTTAATGATAATATTTAATGAAATAAATTTTTTGATTTTCAAGTGTCAGAAGAGACATTAGAGTCCCATATGAGAATATTTGATTAAGGAAATAAATTTTTTCAAGTCTCAGAAGAGACATTAGAGTCCCATATGGTAATATTTTGTAAGGAAATAAATTTTTTCAAGTGTCAGAAGAGACATTAGAGTCCCATATGATAATATTTTGGTAATGAAATAAATTTTTTGATTTTCAAGTGTCAGAAGAGACTCTAGAGTCCCATATGATAATATTTTGGTAATGAAATAAATTTTTTGATTTTCAAGTGTCAGAAGAG